CCATTCTCTTCTTCATTTTCATAGAAAACTCACCTAATTTGCTCTCCCACTCTTGTTCCATCCTTTTACATTGCTCTTCCATCCATTCTTCCATACCAGAACCATTTTCCTCGGATCCCCTGAGCCTACAACTTCCCTTCAGAGCCACCATCTTTTTTTTTTTTTGTGGTTACGTGTTGTAATGTCGGTGTGTGCTTTTTGTGTATGTGTGTGCGTGTGGGTGGTGAAGCTGTAAGAGGGAGAAAGGGGGGAGGGGGACAGGGAAAATGATGGGAGGGTGGAGAAAAAGAGTGGGAAGGGGGCTAGAAACAGAGAAAGGGTGAAAGGGAGGAAAAGAGAGAGAGAGAGAGAGAGGAGAGAGAGAGAGAGAGAGAGAGAGAGAGAGAGAATGAGGGAGAGAGAATAGGGAAGTGTAGGGAAATCAGTGGGTCAATAGATGTTATCTAGTCACACTGAGGTGTCAATTGACTGTGTGTGTGTGTGTGTGTGTGTACTCACCTAATTGTACTCACCTAAATGTGGTTGCAGGGGTTGAGACTCAGATCTTAGCCCCTGCCTCTTCACTGACCGCTACTGGGTCCTCCCTGTCCCTGCTCCATGAGCTTTATCATACCTCGTCTTAAAACTATGTATGGTTCCTGCCTCCACTACATCACTTGCCAGACTATTCCACTTCCTAATAATTCTGTACCTGAAGAAATACATCCTTTTGGCTCATCTGAGTCTTCAACTTCCAGTTGTGACCCCTTGTTTGTGTGTCCCCTCTCTGGAACATTCTGTCTCTGTCCACCTTATCTATTCCATGTAGTATTTTGTATGTCGTTATCATGTCTCCCGTGACCCTCCTGTCCTACAGTGTCGTGTGTGTGTGTGTGTGTGTGTGTGTGTGTGTGTGTGTGTGTGTGTGTGTGTGTGTGGTGTGTGTGTGTGTGTGCGTGTGTGCGTGTGTGTGTGTGTGTGTGGTGTGTGTGTGTGTGTGTGTGTGTGTGTGTGTGTGTGTGTGTGCCTGTGTGTGTGCGTTTGTATGTGTGTGCGTTTGTATGTATGTGCGTGTGTATGTATGTACGTGTATGTATGTGCGTGTGTATGTATGTGCGTGTATGTATGTGCATGTGTATGTATGTGTCTGTGTATGTATGTGTGGTATGTATGCATGTGTATGTATGTGTGTGTATGTATGTGTGTGTATGTGTGTGTATTGTGTGTATGTATGTGTATGTATGTGTGTATATGTGTGTATATGTGTGTATATGTGTGTGTGTGTGTGTGTGTATGTGTGTGTGTGTATGTGTCTGTATGTGTGTGTCTGTGTGTGTCTGTATGTGTACTCACCTATATGTGGCTGCAGGGGGCGAGTCATAGCTCCTGGCCCCGCCTCTTCACTGGTCGATACTAATTCACTCTCTCCCTGCTCCATGATATTTGTCAGACTTCTTCTTAAAGCTATTTATGGAACTTGCTTCCACTACTTCACTCTCCAGATTATTCCAGTTCCTGACAACTCTAAGACTAAAGAAATACTTCCTAACATCCCTATGACTCATCTGGGTTTTCAGTTTCCAATTGTGACCTCTTGTTTCTGTGTCCCCTCCCTGGAATATCCTGTCTATGTCCACCTTGTCTATTCCATGCAGTATTTTATATGTCGTTATCATGTCTTCCCTGACTCTCCTGTCCTCCAGTGTCATCAGGCCAATTTCCCTTAACCTTTCTTCATAGGACATTCCCCTTAGCTCTGGAACTAACTTTGTCGCAAACCTTATTGCACTTTCTCTAATTTCTTGACATGCTTGATCAAGTGCAGGTTCCAAACAGGTGCTGCATACTCCAGTATGGGCCTGACATACACAGTGTACAGTGTCTTGAACAATTCCTTACTAAGGTATCGGAATGCTGTTCTCAGATTTGCCAGGCGCCCATATGCTGCAGCAGTTATCTGGTTGATGTGTGCTTCCGGAGACATGCTCAGTGTTATACTCACCCCAAGATCTTTCTCCTTGAGCGAGGTTTGCAGTCTTTGGCCACCTAGCCTATACTCCATCTGCGGTCTTCTGTGCCCTTCCCCGATCTTCATGACTTTGCATTTGGTGGGGTTAAATTCGAGAAGCCAGTTGCTGGACCAGGTGTCCAGTCTGTCCAGGTCTTTTTGAAGTCCTGCCTGATCCTCATCTGATTTAATTCTCCTCATTAACTTCACATCATCTGCAAACAGGGACACTTCTGAGTCTAACCCTTCCACCATGTCGTTCACATATACCAAAAATAGCACTGGTCCTAGGACCGACCCGTGGGACCCGCTCGACACAGGTGCCCACTGTGATACCTCATCACGTACCATGACTCGTTGTTGCCTCCCTGTCAGGTATTCTCTGATCCATTGCAGTGCCCTTCCTGTTATATGCACCTGATCCTCTAGCTTCTGCACTAATCTCTTGTGAGGAACTGTGTCAAAGGCCTTCTTGCAGTCCAAGATGATGCAATCAACTCACCCCTCTCTCTCATGTCTTACTTCTGTTACATTATCATAAAACTCCAGAAGGTTTGTGACACAGGATTAGCCTTCCATGAATCCGTGCTGGTTGGCGTTTATACTCTTGTTCCGTTCCAGGTGCTCCACCACTCTCCTCCTGATAATCTTCTCCATAACTTTGCATACTATACACGTCAGTGACACAGGTCTATAGTTTAGTGCCTCTTTTCTGTCTCCTTTTTTAAAAATGGGAACTGTACATTTGCCATCTTCCATACCTCAGGTAGTTGCCCAGTTTCCAGGGATGTGTTGAAGATTGTGGTAAGTGGCACACGCAGCATATCCGCTCCCTCTCTAAGGACTCACGGGGAGATGTTGTCCGGTCCCATTGCCTTTGAGGTATCGATGTCCCTTAGCAGCTTCTTCACCTGCTCCTCATTTGTATGTCATCCAACACTTGGTGGTATATTTCTTGCTGGTGTCTTGCTCTGTTCTGTCCCCCCAGAGGCCTTCCTGTCTCCACTGTGTGTGTGTGTGTGTGTGTACATACGTACGTACTCACCTAATTGTACTCACCTGATTGTCGGTGCAGGGGTCGAGACATAGCTCCTGGCCCTGCCTCTTCACTAGTCGCTTCTGTGTATGCATGTGTGGGTGTCTGTGTGTGTGCATGCGTGCATGCACACACATGCACACAACTCATATATGTAATAGTGTACAAGCGAAATTCCACTCACAACTTCCACTGTAAACAACATACACATAAAAAATTGCATCACAAATTTAAATTATGTATATGGGACAAACTTACTGTTGGGTAGGCAGGAAATATTTTGATAAAGCAAATAAGTAACTACAATGAACACATGATGAGTATAAAGACATTTAAATATTAGACCTATCAAGGTAACACCTTGTGTCAACACATCTAATGACCCTGTTATCCACTACAAAACATGTATATTATAACTACACTATCTTAAATCTCATATAATGCATTTCATTTTTTATCCATTATGAAAATTGTAATTCAGAAACCCTCATAAAGAAATATTTATATTTTTTTTATACACTTAGTACTTTTATTGTACTACAGGATTGTAATGAGATAAATGTATAATGAAAAAATCTGGAGCTTGTAACACTACCATGTATTCTAAACACATGCAAAATGTTCCGTATCACTGAAGGAGTTTTATTCTTTAGATGATCTATTCTTGAGCTCCAACTTTATTTTATGTACATGTTCCTCTAAATTGTTGTTAGGGTTCTGCAGAACACAATTATCTGCAATCAAGATTTATGACTAGTCCAGATCCTTTGGGAGAATAGTCCGTAAGATTTCTGAATGTGGGATTATTCTCTTATTGAAGATTTACATATACGCTGTTAACCATGATGCAGTGTGGACCTGCCTGGCCTTAGATTTTTTCAAAGGTATGATGAGGTTGTAGAGGACACAAGTTGTGCTGAGGTCAAAAATATTGGTAGGCAGTGGATCTGAAGGCACAAAAAATTGTGTGTACTAGTACACTAGGCACACTGTCATCATCTGCGTATTAGAATGTTTGATACACAAATAACCCGCACATAAAAGAGAGAAGCTTACAACGACGTTTCGGTCCAACTTGGACCATTGACAAAGTCACACTTTGTCAATGACTTTGTCAATGGTCCAAGTCGGACCGAAACGTCGTCGTAAGCTTCTCTCTTTTATGTGCGGGTTATTTGTGTATCGTTCCAGTCACGATATTGTGCCTTTTTTATTATTTATAGAATGTTTGACCCTGTTAAAGGGTTAATTCCTCATAGGAGACACCTGTGTTGTCTTTAGGCTTGAATTTGTATTCCCATAGCATTAAGAATTAGGCCATACATAATTTTATTGAGGATGGAGAAAGTAAGTTTCTTTCAAGACCATTATGCTCTGTAAAACAACTCTACAGCACCATCTTTCTATGTTTATGGAACTTCCTCCGTCAAGATATGTCTATAGTTAAAACAAGCATTAAGAATGACTAATTTCAACATTTCATTGAATCAAGAAAACCAACAGTAAGGACCATAATTTAATCCTGTCCATAGTCTCTGATATTCCAAACAAAACTGCTATTTGCAGATTATAAAATCCTAACCAAAATATAACTGTTTTGCTGACAAATAAATACAAAACCACTGAAATCACTTTCTTTTAAGAGCTTCAATATTTGCCTTGTTGAAATTTACAAAAACAGCATAAAATGTCTAATCATGTCATCAGGAATAAACTGGCATAGTTCAATTTAAAAATGAAAAAGTTCAGTGCTCAATCTATGAGAACTGAATTCCTACAATTTATAAAAATTGTAACTAAGAAAAATTAACAGAGCAATTAACAAATTATGCTGAAAACTACAAAGCCAAACAAGATGGAAATACAGCAGCATCTAATAAACATGTAAAATCTACAATAAAGCTAAGAAGATAAGATGGAGCATACAAACCATGTTATAGTCTAAGAAAAAATTAAAATATTGCACTTTTATTCAGCATATACACAACACCAAAGACATGAACACGACATACACTTGGCAGGAGTTGATCCCTGAAGCCTGAGAGAGTTGAGATTCAGGTTCAAATTGAGGAACGTAGGTCGAGCTGTAAAATCAGTCATGGTTAGTATCCTTCACTGATGACTGGCTGAATTGTCTTCTATTGCCACAATGTGTTATAAAAATAATTAAATTCCAGAAGAGTTACAGTTAAATCCAACATTATATAAAAAAAATTGTCTTGAACAGCCAAAAGATGTAGAAAATACAGAAACATCAGTAGTAGTCACCCTGAAAAAAATCTGAATCAACTTGTAGTCATCACTGAAGCCTTCAGCCACCCTAAGGCAAAACAAGATTAATTAAAATATTGCAAGAACTTTTCATGGTAGAGGAGATTCCTTTTCATTCTGCATGTGCAGCACTTTATTTTGGCCCAATGAATGACATATCCTGCTATTGTAGCAGCGTATTCAATTAGAAACAACTGAGCAATAATTACTAGGTCATCACATGTGATTCCCACATGTTATAAATCAAATAGGTACACTAATTTACATAGCATTTTAGAACTGTATAAGCTAATATTGTACAACTTGCATTGTAAAGTATGCTTTGTTTTTTTTTTAAAGAATAAAAAGTCAAAATGGTCCAGGATGGGCTGAAATGTGGACACAAGGTTCCTCTCCTAACTATGGGATTTTGGTGACTTACTGTTTGTTTTCTACTGTTGTATTCTTCTGGACATAATAATGACTCAATTGGTAAACTGATTTCAGCCATGAAAATTTAACAACAAACATAATTTGAAAGAAATATTCAAAATCATAAAAGGAATACACTAGATGTAATCAAGAATGCGTTCGAGACATACACTATAAGAGAACATCAGCAAATACTTAACCCTTTCGGTGTCAGTCCCATTATATTATGGCCTTGAAGCCAGTGTCGGTCCTGTAGTACTACACCATGAGCACAGCTCACTCAGATAAGCTGTGAGTGGTAAATTTGGACCTAGATATGAGAAAATAGGTCTATGCAGTAGTGTGCACCATATAAAAAAATTCTGCAACATGCGGTACATAAGAAAAAACTGCAACCATGTTTTTGGTTTAAAATAGCAACTTTGTGGTGTATTTCTGTATGGCTTTATGGTTGGATTCTCAGTTTCTAAGTCTCATTTAATAGAATGGAAAACATATTACAGAAATAGAGATGATTTTGATTGGTGTCAGGAGGGAAAGTAGCTTGAAATTGACCTCAAAGTAGTGGAAATGTTCAATTTTTGCAGATTTTCCAGAGTACACAAATGATGTCACTTTTCTAATGCACATCCAACTGGCCAGTCAAATACACGTTTAAGAATGGTCTGACATTATTTATACATTTATTACAATAATGTAATAGTCTAATTAACAGTAAATCTTGCAAGCGTAACATAAGAAAGGCCTTGAGGCATGACTAAGGAACAAAGGAAATGTTTTTTAGTGCCAGGAAAGTCTACATTGTTTATTCTACATTGTTTATTTTTTAGTTTTGTGTGAAATTGGCCAAATTACTGATTTCTGATCACTTTATTGGATAGTTAAAACAGGTAAATGGGCAGTTTCTTATACTCGTTTGACAGAATAGAAAGATTACTAGCAAAATAGCCGAGTTTGGCCAACTGAAACAATGGAATTGGCCAAAAATAGGGTGCAATGTGGATGAAATCACTGATGCGTAAATATCACACAGACCACTAACTTTCCGAGAGCATAATTCCATGAGTTTTCCATCAAATTTCATACTTTTGGTTTCATTATCTTCGGATTTTAAAAGATTATCTATCATTTCATAAGAAAAAATAACAATTACTTTATTTTCAATTCTGCGACCCTGAAAGCAAGTTTGAGAGCAGTGGTTGCAACTCTGAAAGGGTTAAGTCTGAGAAGCTACAGACTGACAATATATAAACACCATAATAAAATAGCTAAAGGAGGGGTGATATAGTCATGACAAAAGAGAGATGATAACACCTACTGTGTGATGTAACCTTGCATCATTTTATGACATACAGAGGACCCTCTGTTTTCGTCATTAATCCATTCCAGAGAGTCTGACGAAACCCAAAAATCACAAAAACCAAAATAATTTTCCCTGTGAGAAATAATGTAAATCCAATTAATCCGTTCCAGACACCCAAAAGTATCAACAAAAAACACATTTTTTAGGGATTAAATGTAGACTTACATATAGAAAACAATGACAATTAAATATAAAGCTAATAAAATGTATAAATGAACATTTAACATCACACTTACATAAATAACAAAAAAGGCACAATATCATGACTGGAATGATACACAAATAACCCGCACATAGAAGAGAGGAGCTTACAACGATGTTTCGGTCCAACTTGGACCATTTACAAAGTCACACAAATGAGAAGCAGAGCAGGAAGGGTATATATAGGGAAGAAGAAGAAGAAGAAGAAGAAGAAGAAGAAGAAGAAGAAGAAGAAGAAGAAGAAAAAGAAGAGAAGAAGAAAAAAGAAGAAGAAGAAGAAGAAGAAGAAGAAGAAGAAGAAGAAGAAGAAGAGAAGCAGCAGCCAGCAGCAGCCAGCAGCAGCAGCAGCAGCAGCGAGCAGCAGGCAGCAGCAGCAGCAGCAGGCGCAGCCAGCAGCAGCAGCAGCAGCAGCAGCAGCGCAGCAGCAGCAGCAGCAGCAGCAGCAGCAGCAGCAGCAGCAGCAGAGCAGCAGCAGCAGCAGCAGCAGCAGCAGCGAGCAGCAGCAGCAGCAGCAGAGCCAGGCCAGCAGCAGCAGCAGCAGCAGCAGCAGCAGCAGCGCAGCAGCAGCAGCAGCAGCAGCAGCAGCAGCAGGCAGCAGCAGCAGCAGCAGCAGCCAGCAGCAGCAGCAGCAGCAGCAGCAGCAGCAGCAGCAGCAGCAGCAGCAGCAGCAGCACAGCAGCAGCAGCAGCAGCGCAGCAGCAGCAGCAGCAGCAGCAGCAGCAGCAGCAGCAGCAGCAGCAGCAGCAAGCAGCAGCAGCAGCAGCAGCAGCAGCAGCAGAGCAGCAGCAGCAGCAGAGCAGCAGCAGCAGCAGCAGCAGCAGCAGCAGCAGCAGCAGCAGCAGCAGCAGCAGCAGCAGCAGCAGCAGCGCAGCAGCAGCAGCAGCAGCAGCTAGCAGTAGTAGTAGTAGCAGTAGTAGTAGTAGCAGTAGTAGCAGCAGCAGTAGTAGCAGTAGTAGTAGTAGTAGTAGTAGTAGTAGTAGTAGTAGTAGTAGTAGTAGTAGCAGCAGTAGCAGTAGTAGCAGTAGTAGTAGTAGTAGTAGTAGCAATAGTAGTAGCAGCAGTAGCAGTACTAGTAGTAGTAGTAGTAGTAGTAGTAGTAGTAGTAGTAGTAGTAGTAGTAGTAGTAGTAGTAGCAGCAGTAGCAGTAGTAGTAGTAGTAGTAGTAGTAGTAGTAGTAGCAACTGTAGTAGTAGTAGTAGTAGTAGTAGTAGTAGTAGTAGTAGTAGTAGTAGTAGTAGTAGCAGTAGTAGTAGTAGCAGTAGTAGTAGTAGCAGTAGTAGTAGTAGCAGTAGTAGTAGTAGTAGTAGTGGGGAAGAAGGAGGAGCCAGTTAAATACTAAGAAAGGGGAGCACTGCAATGGAGCTAGGTAAAAGCAAGAACACAGAAGGAATGAAAATAATTAAAAATAAATAATGAAGGAACAAAAATACAAGGCAGAAGAAAGACGACCCAGAGGAGAAAAAGGAAATAGGAAAGGGGAAGAGGGAGAAGAAGAAAAAGAAGGAATCAGGTTAGGTCATGGGTGTTCCGAAGTTTGGAGCATTTTACAATGTAGTGGGAAAGGAAGGCATCTACAGAGACGAAGCCAGGACTAACCTCGTTCATACCTCTTTGCACTAACCTCGTTCATACCTCTCCTCCCTCTACTGATGCTGCTGGTGTCTACTCTATTTCTTGTTCCTCCTGTCCTCTTCAATACTTTGGAGAAACTGGCCGATCTCTTTCTGACAGACTTAGGGAGCACAAAAGTAGTGTTGGGCTTGCTGACACTAACAATGCTCTTTTCTGTCACATCAGAGATCACAGCCATCCTATTGACTGGTCTTCTGCTAAAACTGTCTTCCCTACTTCTAACATTAACAGTCGCTGTCTGGTTGAATCCTCCCTAATACACAACTTTCCATTTATGAATCTTAGTCCTGGCTTCGTCTCTGTAGATGCCTTCCTTTCCGACTACATTGTAAAATGCTCCAAACTTCGGAACACCCATGACCTAACCCGATTCCTCCTTTTCCTTCTTCTCCCTCTTCCCCTTTCCTCTTTCCTTTTTCTCCTCTGGGTTGTCTTTCTTCTGCCTTGTGTTTTTGTTCCTTCATTATTTATTTTTTATTATTTACCCCCCACTCTATGTTCTTGCTCTTACCCTCTGTGGGCACCTAGCTCCCTTGCAGTGCTCCCCTTTCTTAGTATTTGACTGGCTCCTCCTTCTTACTTCACCACTACTACTTCCTTCCTCCTCCACTACTATCACCACTACCACTTCCTGCCTATATATACCCTTCCTGCTCAACTTCTCGTTTGTGTGACTTTGTAAATGGTCCAAGTCAGACTGAAACGTCGTCGTAAGCTCCTCTCTTCTAGGTGCAGGTTATTTGTGTATCACACTTACCTTTAATGAAGACTCTTGTTGGTGTACAGAAGACGGGGAGGAGGGGAGAGGAAGAAGTTACTATTGTTTGGAAGGGGAATCCCTTTCCATAATGACTTCAGGTACCCCATGGACTTCCCCAAAGCCACAACAGATTCCGCAACAGGCATAAGATTGCCAGGTGTGTGTGGGGAAGTACCCTGGCTGGTGTCTGGGGAAGTGCCCTGGCTGGTGTGAGTAGGGAAGTACCCTGGCTTGTGTGTGGGAAAGTACCCTAGCTGGTGTGTGTGTGGGAAGTACCCTGTCTGGTGTGTGGGGAAGCACCATGACTGGTGTGTGTGGGGAAGAACCCTGGCTGGTGTGTGTGTGGGTAAGTACCCTGGCTGGTGTGTGTGGGGAAGTACCCTGGCTAGTGTGTCTGGGGAAGAACCCTGGCTGGTGTGTGTGTGGGGAAACACCCTGGCTGGTGT